CGTGCCGATACCACAGGGCACGAATATTCTTAATTAATTACTGCTAATTTCACTTTTCTTGATTGTTGGAAGGAATATCATTTAAAGCTCCTTCCACGACACATTCCTCTTCTTTACTCAGGGAAACCAATTTTCTTCTACATGTTATTTTTTGGGATATGTTTACATGTAAACTTGATAATTTTTTATCAAACCCGTTAACCTGCTCTTTATCCGTCCGTTTAAAACGGGTTAAAGTTATATATTTATGACCCGTAATTCGTTAATGACCCGTTAAGAGAACCTGACGAGTCACGGGTCAATAATGGGTTGACCCATTTATCTATTTAAAAATATAAAATATTTTAATTTATTATTTATTTATTTTGTTTTTCAATTCTCAATTGCACCTAAACCTCTAATAATTGGCTAATATTCCCTAATTAACTAATTGATTCTCTTGACTCATCATCTTCTAGAAGTAAAAATAATCCCACTCCACTTCTAACTTACTTCCCGACCTTTCCTATTCTTGCTTGCCCTAATACTCTCGAAAACTCTAACTCTTCAAACTTCAAATTCTTCTCATATGCTTCAACCTCCATAGTCCATACAGCCTTTGACTTTCAAACTTCAACTTTCAAACTTCGACTTCACCTTTTCTCTTTAGTTTTTAACATTATCTCAGACTTAGATCTTAATCTTATTGAGTCACCGTTGCGTCCACTCAATCTTTTCTTTTTTTCTCCTATGAGTCCGACAAGTGCTCTTTTTGTCACCAACTTTTTTCTCTAAATATTTCAGGATAAGTTGTTTACTTATTTATGCTTTTTAGTTTTCTTTTCATTTCAAGTAAAAATTTTACTTGATTTTCTCCTTTACTTACTTAGATACATTCAATTGATTATTCTTTGAAAGCAATGACCAAAACAAATATTTTCCAATGGGGTTTGTGTTTTTTGATTGTTATGCTACTACTGTTTTTTCTTTTTTTTTTACTATTAAGATTTATAAATGTTGTGTTCTTAAATTTAATTAGCACTGTTTTTTAAAGGGAAATAAAAAAGGTGATTCTGATGAACTATAAATATGTATATATTAAATTAATGAAAAAATTATTTTTATAAGATGTTAAATTTTTTTTTAAAATCTTTTGAATAATTTTCTTTGAATGATAATAAGTACAAATTATAGAAAAAAAAAAAGAAAACAAATTAATTAGGTCAACCCGCGGGTTGACCCGTGACCCGTGATGGGCAAGTCAAAGTCTGCCTTCATTGACCCGTGACCCATTTTAATCCAACTTGTTATGACCCATTACCCATTCTGACCCAACTATAACCCGACATAACCCACCCATTTGCCAAGTCTATTTACATGTGATTGTAATATTCCTGGAAAATTGTCACGGCACTTTCGGCAAATTTTGTTTGTGTTTTTCAAACTCTAACACATGCACCTTACCAACCCAATTAGTTGAAAATGAAACGTTATCACATTTTCGACCTGGATTTGATTCCTCGAATCCAGATTTGTACTGCTGTTATTCTTTTCTTTAAGAAAAAACAATAATATGATTAAAATATTACCTAATATATTATTAAATAAATAAATATATTAAATATTATAATATTATAAATAAACACTTAAATAAAAAAAAATCATATTATAACATATTATAATTATAAATTTATAATACCACGTAATATTATATTAATATTATTTTTGCATTTCCGTCTTTCGGTTCAAATTTGACTTCACTTCTTAACAGAGTCTAACAATTTTCTAGAATCCTAATCTATTTAGCTTAACCAATTAGGTGCAACAATTATTTCTTTATATCAGATTTTGTTTTTTCTAGATTCCTTTTTTCAACCCAAGATATCTTTGGCAAGTTTGATTACATTGACGATTCTTGCCTTTTGATTTGACTTTTGACACTAATCTAGAACAGATTGTTGCAGTTTCTAATTAATTTAAATTAGTAAAATTCGACATGCTTGATTCTCTTCCTTCTCTGCAGGCTTTGGTGGAGATCTCATCACCTTAACGCGAAAAGTGGCCTGCATAACAAGGGAGCATGATCCACTTGTTCAATTAAGTAATCTGTTCTTTTAAATCATTCACGTTAAATTTTCAAGTTGATTTGTCATTTATAATAACCATTTGATATGAATAAACAGTATTTTCCAACATGTATTTAAAACGATATAAAATTTTATTTTCAATCTAAAACTTGACATGAATATTTTATATTAATATAACATTTAATCCAACAGTTAGTTTTTCAAAATATTAGTACACACCACCCTTATATTGGCGTAAGTAAATCTCGACTAAAAATCAAATATACATGGACCATTTCTATTTTGTTATACTCTACTATTTTACTTTATTTTCATGTAACAACTATATAATAGGCATTCCATTCAACTAATCATGGCCAAAGTGTTAAATAATAGTATTGAATGAACTCCTATGCACAACTAAGAGATCTACTCCTACTTTATTAAGGTTAGCTGTATATTTACCTTCTTATCAGAGCCAAACTCAATAATATTTGATGGACGGAATCGAGCACAAGAGTTTGGACGTATCCTATACCTCCTCCCGTCATTGGTGCAAATTAATGTAAGGAAAATAAATTTTCATAATAAAATCTTAAATTAAAAAATGATAGTAAATAAATAAAGATGTAGGAAGACAACGTACTTAATGATATAGGTCCCATATTTGCTTTGTAAATCAGTAAGAAAGAATGCACCATCTCTGTAGCTGATACGAGCATGTGCATTGGATACCTGAGCATCAGAATTCAACAAGTTATGTTTGTTCTGAATAGTGCAGAGCAAAACAGCTTGCAAAATCACCTGAGGGGAACGTCAGGTTATCAAATATGTTCCTGGAGAATTCTCTTGCTTTTCACTTCTGCAGTCATCATTGATCATCAAAATACAGATCAGTGTAGGAGAACATTAGTCAAATTTTATTTTATGCTTTTGCTCAAAATTTGTCCTCCCTCAAACTCCCTTCCTCAACCGCTATATATTTACTAGAGCATCCAGACACATTATAGACAGAGAGGTACATGCATACATAAAACATAAGACACCTTCATCTTAAATGCAAACAGATACCCAATTATGCAGTCTCTGTTCTCATCCCTACTTAAATGAATAGGTTCTGAAACAGCTGCTTCATTTCCAAACGGTAACAAAAACCAACTGCAAAACAAGGAGCAAAAATATATGAATCCAAGTGTCTACAACATTCATGCAACTAAAATCCACAAATAATAAAGAATTTAACACACGCACTCTCCATTAATAGATAGCTCTAGTGCATCGTCGTCCTCCAACCATCTCAGAAACTGATCATTTGCCTGTAGAAATTATTTACCAGATATTAGGTTCTTGAGCATATGGCAAATTTAGCAAGTTCTAAAATGTGATGCATAGCCATAAATGCAGGATCAATAGCATGCAAAAATGATACCTTTTCCGAGAGTCTGCAACATGGTGACCTGCCTTCAAATTTCAAACTGCAAAAGATGAAAGTGGGGATGATTTGTTTCAATAATATTTACATCTATATTTTGAAATTTTATGCCTTGGAAATCTCATGAAAATAAGTGAAGGCATCTTGCATAGGGGCATGACAAGAAGGAGCAATGTTATTCAATTTCCCCCCTTTTCCTTATTTTGAAACTTCATGTTTGCATCTCATGAAAGATAATGTTTGCCCAAGACTCAGTGTGCACAGAAATGGGTAATGGGAAAAAAAAAAAAAAAAAAAAAAAAAAAACAGAGAAAGAAGCAGGAAAATCCTAGAAATTGGGGATTTGCATATGATACCTAATAAAAGTAACAGAAGAATAATAAGGAAGATCTATAGTAGAAAGAAAGATTGTTGATATGTATTCCTCAAGACTCTGACAATCCAGAGGCAGAGAAATAGTAGAGAGAATCACAGGTAGAAAACGATGGATGTTCTGGACAATTCCCAAAATGAAACAGTGCAGAACTTAAACCTAACCTAGACAACAACAACCAATAAATAAAACAACATTAAGAAACCTAATCCTACGTGGCCACCACGCCAGCTTCTTTTGTTTTCTACATATCAGCATAGGACTTCAAATGCAGAAGAAAAGCAACAGATAATTGGCATAGATTTCTAAATTGCCAAACCTTGATACTGGATGAAGGCTTTCATTAGGGAATTCAAGACAAGAATTGAACCATAAGAAAACAAATGTTTACAAGATCTAACCTGCCGCCACCAAAGACCCAACTGATGATTAATCTCATTGCTAAGTCAACAAGAAATCTGCAACCAACTGTTGCTGGATGTGGTATCCAAAATTTTTTCAAAAACTGCAAGGCAGGTCAAAGGCCACGTTGATTATGTATGAAGTTCATACAGAAACATTAAAACATCATCATGATTTCCATTTCATATAATCAACAGTTCCTACCAACAATGGACCAAGCCCTACATCCAAATAAGACATGTAATATGAAGCTGCAATGGCAGCCATTCTGGCCATTGCATGGATAATGGCAACTCGCAGTCTCCTATTCCTCTC